CGGGCGGGCCAGGCAGGAGCAGGGGCTGGGTCCCCCGCGGGAGCCTGTCCAACCGGGAGGGACTGGGGTGCAGCCCAGCGGGGGGAGCTTGGAGGTGGAGAAGGATGCTGAGGAGATGCTACTGCAAAAACAGCTGGGAAAGGGGTTCTGACCTGATCCTGGTGCCAGCAGGACAGCCTGGGGAGGGAACCTGGGGTCCTGATGGGTGCTAGGGCTGGTCTCGGGGATAACACGAGCAGCTGCCAGTGGGAATCACCCCAAAATCTCACACCCACCCCAGCCCTCGCCCCTCACCTTCCTCTCAGCTATCCCAAGCCTGAACGAGAGGCATGAGCTGTCCCGTTTGGCGAAGGGGCGCTTCAGAGTAGTTTTGGGATGCAAAAGCCATCATTTCTCTGTGCCTTTTGGGCTCTGCCCAAACCTGAAGCTCATGAGGAAGGTCAGTACAATTCCCTGGAGCAAACAGCCCCAAACAGGACACTGGCAGAAGCCGCGCAAAGCAGGAGCGCACGGAACCTCGCAGGCAGGTTATGTGCCTCATCGCGCGTTATTTCCCCTCTCCGTTTATCTGCCAAGCAAACTTTCGGGAGATAATTTATTTGCTGACAAATTCAGATAATTTAAAGACAGTTCCTAGGACATTTGCCATCTTGTGGTTTCAGCTGCCTCCGCTAATACCTTGGCCCTGAAATATTGCTCGTTTCAATAGAGCATTACTATGAAGATGAAGAGATCAGCGGTTTGCAGGACCCGCTCATGCATTTCCTGGTGCTGGGGATGGGGAAAGATGAGGATCTCTCAGCCACCCAAGGCCACGGCCACGGGCAAGTTTTCCTGCATGCCCTTGCTGCGCACCGAGCTCACACCTACGTGTTAGTCACAAGGCTACTTGGGCAAGCTGCAGCACCGGGAAGCCTTTGCAGGGCCGGAGAAATGTCCCCAAATCACCAGCTGAACATTTGGGGGACGCCTGCAAGGGGGAGGTCGTGGAAGCACCATCCCTCTTGTCCTCAGTCGTGAAAGGGGGAAATAAAAACCCCTTAATGACCAAATCCCAGGTCCACCAGCATGCCACAGCTCCTGCAGACGCCCCTCCCAAGGGGACGGGGGGGATGCACAAATGTCCCCAAGTCCTGCCATGTCACAGCCTGCGAGCCACCGCGTTGTTATCTGTCTTCAGTCGGTGCCAGGCAAGCAGTAAATCTCTCCCATCTCTCAGTAAACATGTCACCTCCTTGAGCCTCCAACCATCACCTCGGCAGCAGCGCTGTCAGCAAGACAGATCCCCCGGTTGCCTTGTTTACTGCATTAATCCCTACAAGCCTCTTTTTAGCTGGAAATGGCTAAAAATGCATAGTGGGGGGTGAGGAGGGATCAGGCTCTGCCAGGATGAGGTTCCCTGCGTGGAGCAGCAAAGGGGTACATCGACAAAGCAGATTGTGACGAGACACAGGCAAACACCCCCCTGGCATGTGCCCTGGGGCGATCACCTCCTCTCCAGACACCCCTGCACCCTCCCGTGAGGCGCCCAGCAGCACCCCTGCTGCGGGCATGGGCACACAGCCTCAGTGCTGGCTAAGCAAGAGCCAGATCCCCACCCTGCACTTTGGTTTGGGTGGGAAGGGGCCTTAAAGCCCACCCAGCCCCACCCCCTGCCATGGGCAGGGACACCTTCCACCAGACCAGGGTGCTCCAAGCCTCATCCAGCCTGGCCTTGGACACTCCCAGGGATGGGGCATCCACAGCTTCTCTGGGCAACCTGTCCCAGTGCCTCCCCACCCTCTGCGGGAAGAATTCCTTCCTGATGTCCCATCTCCATCTCCCTCTTTCTGTTTAAACCCCTTATTACCCCTTATTCTATCCCGGAAGCACCAGTGGCTTCGTGCCTTACACAGGACAGCAGCACTTCGGCCAAGCACAGGATGAGAAACAGGCAGTTGTCCAACTGCTGCTAAACAAGGCAGAATTCAGCCCCAAATCCAGGTGGTTTTGTACCTGCAGAAGACCGGGCCAAGGGAAGGGAGATGTGCAAGAAGCGTGCAGGGGAGGGAGCTGCCCTGGGAGCTGTGCCTTCGCGCACACACGCAAACCAAGCAGGCACCGCACTTCCCTGGATCACATGCAGCACATTGGGATGCACAGAAGTGTTTTTGTGCACCCCTCCTGTCCAA